CCCGCCCGGGCGGCACACCCTCCCTGAAGGGGCTCCGCGCATGCGTGTTACCGCTGGAGCCGCGGCGCCACGTCGGGGTTTTTCTGTGTCTGTGCGGCTGGGGATTCGAACCCCGGGCCTCGCGCCTGCGAAGCGAGCGCTTTCCCCCTGAGCCCCCTGCGCAGCCCCGCCTGTGTGTCTCCTCAGGGGCTGGGCGCGAGCGTGCGCACCGCCTCCCGGGCGCGGCCCTCTCGGGTCTGCGCGGCGGTGGGTGGCACAGGCCCCGAGGCCGACCCCCGCCCTCGGCCGAACTGAGGATGCGCCCCACGACAGGGGGAGACCCAGGGCCGAGGGGGCCGAGGGGGCCCGGGGGGCCGAGGGGGCGACCCCTGCCGGCGGCTACAGCGCAGGCCCCGCCCACAGCTCACACACGCCCCGCCCATCACCGTGCGCAGGCCCCGCCCCTCGAGCGCAGGTCCCCTGCATAGAGCACATGCCCCGCCTACATCTCAACACGCCCCACCCATCACTATATACAGGCCCCGCCCCTCGCGAGCCGGCCCCTCCCATCCTTCAAGGCAGGCCTTTCTCATCCTGTGCAGGCCACGCCCATCGCGCGCAGGCCACGCCCACCACACGCAGACCCCTCCCATCACACTCAGGCCCCGCCCATCACAGCAGACCCCTCCCATCACACTCAGGCCCCTCCCCTCACGCAGGCCCCTCCCCTCACGCAGGCGCCAGGCTGCCCCGCCCCTCCTCCTCATTACTATTGTTGTTGTTGTTACTGTTACTTTTGTGTTGTCTGGGTCTTTTTTCTTCTTATTATTTTTTATATTTATTTTATTTTATTTTTTGGTCCTGGGGCCTGAACTCAGGGCCTGGGCGCTGTCCCTGAGCTTCTTGGGCTCCAGGCGGGCGCTCTACCCCCTGAGCCACGGCGCCAGTCCTACTTTTCTGGTGGTTTCCTTGGAGATCAGCGTCTCTCGGGCCTTCCTGTCCTGGCTGGCCTTGAACCGCGATCCTCAGGCCTCGGCCTGCTGGTGCTTCCCACCCTGCTCGGGGCCCCTGGGGCGCCCTGCCCGGCCCTGGGCCCCGGGAGGCCGCAGGGGACCCGCCTGCATCCTAGCCACTGAGGAGGCTGAGGCCTGAGGACCGAGGTTCGAGGCCAGCCCGGGCAGAATAGCCCCTGAGACTCTGATCTCCAAGGAAACTACCAGAAAAGTAGGACTGGCGCCGTGGCTCAGATGGTAGAGCGCCCGCCTGGAGCCCAAGAAGCTCAGGGACGGCGCCCAGGCCCTGAGTTCGAACCTCAGGACCCGCAGGAGAAAGGAAAGAAAGCCCAGGAACATTTTGGTGTTCAAGGAAGGACGGAGGATTGCAGGCCTTGGCTTTCCCTCTACTCACCTCCGCCATCTTCATTACCAGTCCTGCCACCGCCAGGGCCACCGTCAGCACCAGCACCACCATCACCATCACCATCATCATCACCATCACACCCTCCTGACACCCACGGCCCAAGTTTCCCTTCTACCAGCCACTGAGGCAGGTCCCGGGTCAGCCCACCCCATCCATTGGGTGTCTTCGTCCGGGTGAATCCTCCCCACCCTGCAGCCTCCACCTCCCTGCGGCCTCCACCCTGCGGCCTCCACCCTGCGGCCTCCACGTGACCCCACCAGAAAGGAAAGTAGGTCAGACACCCCCGGCGGGCTGGGTGGGGGGGTGGGGGGTGGGAAGGAATGGTTCCCTGGCACCAACCCCCCCACCCCCCAGTGGGGGACAATTTTGCTGAGTTGACACTAATACGGTCAAATTGGCTGGTTCTGGTAGCTTGAGTTCAAACCCCAAGACTGGCACAAAAGCAGTAAGAGCAACCAGCCAGCGTGAACTGGAGTAAAAGGGAGTCACACGTGTAGATAGAGATGTTGGGAAGTATGTACATGGAGTCTCGACATTGCGACTAATAAGAAATACATATACTGAGAATTTTCCACCTGCTGCGAAACACGGTTTTCTTAGCGGGGAGCCAAGCCTGGGACTTGAACTCAGGGCCTGAGCTTTTTGTGCTCCAGGCTGGCGCTCTACCACTTGAGCCACAGCGCCACCTCTAGTTTCCTTGCGGTTTATAGGAGATGCGTCTTAAGGCCTTTCCTGCCCAGGCTGGCCTCGGACCACGATCCTCAGGTCTCGGCCTCCTGAGTAGCTGGGATGACCAGCAGGAGCTTTTGAATGTATAAAAGACGGAGTTCTGGGCCCCACCCCAGAGATGACTGTTTTGTTTGCCTGGAATTCCCTGCTCTCAGATTTACACTTCTAAAGAACTGGGGGAAGGGCAGAGAGGGGGGCGCAGGGGGGGGCTTTACAAAGTTTCTTTTCCTTAGCTTTGTACTAAAAAGAATTTAGCAGCCAGAGGACAGCGCCTCCTCCCCCACCCTCCAGCATCCCAGCTCCTCAGGAGGCTGAGATCTGAGGATCAGGGTTCAAAGCCAGCCCAGGCAGGAAAGGTCATGAGATTCTGATCTCCCGTGAACCGCCAGAAAACCGGAAGTGGCGCTGTAGCTCAAGTGGTAGAGCGCCAGCCTGGAGCTGAAGAGCTGAGGGACAGCACCCAGGCCCAGAGTTCAAGACCCAGGAATGACCAAAAAATGTAGGAAAAGAGTCAAGTAGAGATCTGGGGGTATGGTTAAGTGTCAGAGCACCTGCCTGCACCTAGGGGTCCCCCAAAAGTTAAAAACAAAAACATCCAAAGGGCGGGTGCAGGGTCAAATCTTCCAACTGGAAAGGTGAAGCTCCTTGAAATTCTAGGGGCAGAACTGATCCCAGAGAGACACAAATCCCAGCCATCCCCGGTCCCGGGGCCTGGCCGGTTTGTTCCAGTTGGAGCAGGAAGGTCCCTAGAACGCCTGGCTTTTGTAATTCAACAATGTCCACATTTACTCAGCGTGGGAAAGCCCTGGAGAATCCTGAGCCCAGGACTCAATTCTGGTAACTGGTCTAAAGCAACCAGGACAGTGTGGCATCCCTGTAGTCCCGGACATGTCATGGCTGTGAAACTTGGAATTAGCCAAGGGGTGTGGACTGCGGCTTAGGAGATGCTCAGAGGGAAGAATTCACCAGGCACCCGTGGTGCGTATGGTCATCTGATCTCCCCATGAACCAGCAAAAAGCCGGAAGTGGTGCTGTGGTTCAAGTGGTAGAGCACCAGCCTTGAGCAAAAGCAGCTCAGGGACAGCGCCCAGGCCCTGACTTCCAGCTCCAGGATTGGTACTAAGTTAGTGACTGAATAAAGGAATATGCAGATGACTTACCAGCTCCAACCAGTTTTTTTCCCACCTTTTTGGACTTATCCCGAGGGTGGGAAAAGACAAGAAAGAATCAGAAAGTAGATTTGGACCTAAGTTCAAAGCCCACCAGGAGCAAATAGACTAAGAAGAAAAAGAGACAATTCTGCGTGCGTGTGTGCAGTGCTGGGACTTGAACTCTTAACCTGCTCCTTTGTCTCTTAGCTTTTCTTCACTCAAGGCTGGCGCTCTACCACTTGAACCACAGCGCCCACATCTGCCTTTTGGCTGGCTCATTAGAGAGAAGCGTCTCCCAGACTTTCCTGCCCGGTGCAGCTTTGAACTGAGATCCTCAGATCTCCTGAGTAGCCGGGATTACAGGCGTGCACTGCTGGTCTCAGACATTGTGTTGCTGTTGGTGTTTTTGTACATCTTTCTGTCCCGGTCCAAAGCTGTGTGTGAAGACAATGTGTGTAGATCAAAGTCACCCCAGTTACCTTCTCCCCCCCACCCACAGCCTCTCAGGCCCTAGAATGTTCTTGGGGAGGGGGGCGTCTATTTGGAATTTTATCCTTTGAACATCTATTCCTCACACACACCCACAGAAGCCATTCCAGCAAACTTCCTCCCTTATTCAAATTGCTCTCCTGGGGGAAGAATAGAATCTTTGATCTTTCGCCCCAGAGGCGGGGACAATCCCACCAAACCAGACGCAGATCTCCCGTAACCAGAAACTAAAGCACTACCTGTGGCCCCGAACCCCTGAACCGGGGCTGACGACATCCAAAGTGAGATAGAGACTAGGAAATCAGATCTCCATGTCTTCTTCCTTCCTGTCCCTTCGCTGGTGGGTACACACGTGTATTAATACCTCAGATGTAACACACACGGCTTGCTGCTGCTCTTGGTCTTGAACTCCCGACCTGGGCACTGGCCTGTTCTGTTCCAGGCGCGCACTCTTACTCCAGGAGCCACAGTGCCCCTTCCAGCGTTTTAGCCCGGGCTGGCTTGGAGCCCTGGAGCCTCCGGATCTCAGCCTCCCGAGTAGCTGGGACTACAGGCGTGCGGCACAGAGCCCGAGCTGGTTTTGTGTGTTTGTTTTGTTTGTTTTTTCCCCATTATTTACAGATAAACAGACTTGGGAAATTGGCTGCCCTGGGTCTCTAAGAACTGATTTAACCTCTTCCTGCCCGGCCCGGATGGTAATTTTATCCCAGATCACCAATGTCACCTTCTTGGGATCGAACACCAACCCCTCTCCCCAGAAACTCTTTTTCCAGGTCTTTCTCCCAAACCAGAAGGAACTCAAGCCACAAACACGAGAGCCAGGTTTCACCTAGGCCCAGCGCTAGGCCCCTGGTTAAATAGTTCACGTAAAGCAGTGAATCGAATTTTCTAGAACCACAGTTGGAGCTGCACCCTTGGCTTTCGAGGGGGAAGGGAGGATGCGTGTGCAGATCTTCCGTTGGGGGGTTCACTCAGAGCCCCCCGGGTCCCCCCAGCCCCCCTTGGGGTGGATTCCCACCCAGTCTGGCTCTTCCCCAGTGACCTTTGCATGTCAATGGCTGGGGGAGGCTGGCAGACGGGATTAAGGAGGGACTCACGGGCTGGGGGCGTGGGCTGGAGAGGGGGTGGGCCTGCGGGGGAATCCTCCCTTAAAGACCCGCAGCCCGCAGGCTGGGGGCTGCCGGCTGGGTTGGATCTTCTCCTCTGCTTGTTTTCTGGCTGCGGTGTCTTCTGGGCTCACCTGGAGGTCTTTGTTGGGCCAGATCTCTGCCATGAGTGTGGACTGTGTGTGTGCCCCAAACGTCATGAGTGTGGACTGTGTGTGTGCCCCAAACGTGCCACGGCCTGAGGCAGCCGATGGGGAGGACGGATCGCCAGGGCCCGGCAGCTGCCAGGCCCGCGAGGAGGAGCCGAGGCCCAGCCCCGAGCCCACGCTCCACGCAGACACAGGTAAGACAGACCTGAAGCCGGGCGCCGCAGCGCACGCCTGTCATCCCAGCGACTCAGGAGGCTGAGAGCTGAGGATCGCGGTTCAAGGCCAGCCCGGGCAGGAAAGCCCCTGAGACTCTTCTCTCCAAAGAACCACCCAAAAGCTGAAGTGGCGCTGTGGCTCAAGTGGTAGAGCACCAGCCTTGAGCTGAGGGACAGCGCCCAGGCCCTGAGTTCAAACCCCACGGACGACACACAAAATAATAATGGTAATAATTGTATCTGGATTTATGTTTTGTTTCTTGGGTGCTGGTCCTGGAGGTGGAACTCAGGGCCTCAGCTCTCGGCCCCATGAACTTCTTTGCTCGGGGTCGGCCTCAAATCCTGATCCTCCAATCTCAGCCTCCTGAGTAGCTAGGCTGACGGCGACTGGCACTGGCTTTTCCCTTTCGTTTCTATTTACATTTGGACTGCTGGGATTGGCACTCCCAGCCCGGCACTCTCGCTTGGCATTTTCTGTCCAGGCTGGCGCTCTACCGCTTGAGCCATACCTCCACTTCTGTTTTTTTAAGAAGGTCAGGATTATCTCCATCTCCTCCTCCTCCTCCTCTTCTCCCTCTTTTCTGCCCCCCTTCAGATCCCAGCCTCCTGTGGAAGCCTGGATTACAGGCGTACACATCCAAGCCCAGCCTAATGGTGAAGTCTGACTCGAAATGCTTTAGTCAACGGTGCCATTGCTGAGCTAGGAAGGGTCCCCAACCCGGGGTGAAGGTGAACCCCACATTTCTAGTCAGATCCTGCCATTCGCCTATGAGTGACTGGATGATTCGACCGACACAAATCTGTTAAGACTTGGTGTGATTTAAGTAGTTGTCTAGGAGGGCTTCCGTTCAGCTCCTCACTCTGTGAGGATCCTTCTGGATCCTTCTCGCCCCCTCCCTTCGCCCCGCGCCCCCCCTCCAGCCCTCCCACCCCTCCCCTGCCAATCCCTGACTCCACCTTTGATTACATTGAGGATAGCATTCGCCCCCACCCTTCCTCTCTGAAATCCTCTTTTGTTGTCAGTGGTGGGACTTGAACTCAGGACCTGGCCACCCTCCCTCAGCTCTGCAGCTCAGAGTCAGACGGCCTCTTCCCCCTTGGCTAGTTCTTAGTGCCTCAGATTCGTCTCTCCCCGGCTGGCTTTGAACCAGCGATGCTCAGCTCTTACCCTGCGGTGGAGCTGGGATTACAGGCGTGCCCAGTGGCACTCGGCTCAACGCCATCTTCCTTTGCTCGCCCGCAGCTTCTCCTCCTCCCGCCTCCGTGGCTCTGCGGACTCAGGAAAGCCGTGGGTCGGTGTCTCCTCTCCCGGCCAGACCCGCCACCCCCGACTCCCGTCCCGGCAGCGTCCCCGGCGGCCAGGGCGACCAGGGCAAGCCTCCCGCCAAGAGACAGAAGATTCGAACCGTGTTCACTCAGATGCAGCTGTACTACCTCAACGAACGCTTCCAGAAGCAGAAGTACCTGAGCCTGCAGCAGATGCAGGAGCTCTCCACCCTCCTCAACCTCACCTACAAGCAGGTGCGCGCCCGTGCATGCTTTTGGTCGGTGGTGGGTCTCGAACCCGGGGCCTGGGCGCTCTACCACGTGAGCCACAGCGCCCCAGCTCGATTTTCTGGGGGCTTTGGGAGGAGATCAGAGTCTCACAGGACTTTGCTGCTCCTGGGCTGGCTTTGAACGGCGATCCTCCGATCTCAGCCTCCTGAGTGGCCGGGACTCCAGGCGTGCGCCGTGGCGCCCGGCGTGGAGGCGGCCGTGGGGTCTTCTAAGGCCGGTCGGTCGCTCCTCTGCTGCAGGTCAAGACTTGGTTCCAGAACCGCAGGATGAAATGTAAAAGGTGGCAGAAGAGCCGGGGCCTGCTGGACGGTGGCCAGCCGGCCCAGGTAACGGGACACCAGCGCTTCCCCTCTGCTTCTGTCTGTCTGTCTGTCTGGGCTTGAACCAGGGGCCTGCCATGGAGCTTTTCACTGGAGGCTGGTGCCTGTCTGGCCCAGCCTGGGGTCCCACCACCATCATGCTCAGCTCACAGCTTCTCCAGAAGGATCTGGCCGGGATTCCAGGCGGGCGCTCCAGCACCGGCCCGGCCAGTTCCCATGCAGCCCCGCCAACGCCGGCTCTGGTTCTCTCTCCAGGTGAGCGGCCTGCACCCTGGCCATGCCCCGGGCTGGGCGGGGGCCCCCGCCGCCTCTGGAGGCCTTCCTCCGTGGAGCGACCAGATGTGCAGCAGCCAGAGCTGGAGCGGCCCAGCCCCGGGCGCCCACCCGTGGGATCCGCAGCCCTGGAACAGCACCGGCCCTGCCTGGAGCCACGCGTTCCACAGCCACCCCCCGCAGCAGCCCGCGCAGCCCTGCCTGCCCTCCCAGCCCGACCTTCCCGGGGCAAGTCTGGAAGCTTCCATGGAAATCTCTGGGGGGAGCCACCCCTACCTCGACGCACCCCTGGGCTCGGATTGTTACGTAAACTATGCGGCCGGTGTCCTGTGAATTATTCGCTTATTATTAAGTCACTTTGGGGGGGAGGAGCGGTCCTGGGATTCGAACTCAGGGCCTGGGCGCTGTCCCTGAGCTCTTTCACTCCAGGCTGGCGCTCTACCACTTGAACCACAGCGCCACTCCTGGTTTTCTCGTCTGGTTTTCTCGTGGCTCATGGGAGATCAGAGTCTCACGGCCTTTCCTGTCCGGGCTGGCCTTGAACCGCGATCCTCCGATCTCAGCCTCCTGAGGAGCTGGGATGCCAGGCGGGAGCCACCGCACCGGGCTTGTCGTGTGTGTGTGTGTGTGTGTGTGTGTGTGTGTGTGTGTGTGTGTGTGTGTGTGTGTTCGTGTTTGTGTTCTACCTGGGCTGGGATTACGGGCGTGCACTACCAGCCCCGCTGGCTAGCCAAATGAGCACAGGGCTGGCAAGCTTAGATCCCTTTCGCATAGCCCAGAGCGTGCAGTTGTGCAGAGAGGATTCTTGTTCTTGTTGGGGTCCAGTTTTTTCGGGTGAGGGGTCAAAGCTCCATGGGTACCACAGACGCCCCCAGTCCACGTTTGGTTCCAGAGTGTCATTTGTAGAGACGCTTTCTCGTTGTCGTCTGGGTCCAAATGAATCACCGGGTTTCAGCCCTAATTGTCTGGTCTTTTGGCACTCACCTCTTGGTTTAGGAGTAAAGATTTGGCTCAGTCTTGTCTCTGCATTGTGTGTGTGGCTTTGTTTTTAATTCCGATGGGGGGGGGGGAGAGAGGCCATCCAACCCACATCTTTTTATAGCCTTAAAATTCAAGTGGATCGCAGGACCGGTGTGCGAGAAGAGACAGGCACCCGTCGCGCACGCCTGTAATCCCATCTGCTCTGGCTGAGCGCCAGAGCATCCCACGATTCACAGCCCCCAGCCTGAGCAGCAAAAGCAGTGCAGACCCCTTCTCTCCAGTGAACCACCAAAAAAAAACCCACCCAGCAGCGGAGCCGTGGCTCAAGGGGTCGGGCGCCATTCACCTTGAACAAAAAGCAAATAACCTCCAAGCCAGAGCCCACGCTGAGTTCAAGCCCCAGGACTTGCACAAAAAAATGAAAGGGTGTGTGTGGGGAGGGGAAGGGACGAAGTTCTTCCCCATCCCCTCCACAGCATTCCCGCCCTGCCTTCTAACCAAATCCCTCTAGAAGATTCCAATGAGCACGGCCACTTCTTTTGTGTCTGACCTTGGGGCCTGGCCTTCCTTGGGGTGGGTGTCCACACAGTACATTTGCATAGGAGCTGGGGCGCATCCCGAGCCTCCCACGGAGGAGCCTGGAGCGCACGCCTGTAATCCCAGCCAGGCCGGAAGCTGAGATCTGAGGATTGTTCCCAGTCCAACACCTGGCAGAAAGGTCTGGGAGACTCTGGACCACCAATGAACCCGCCAAAGGAGACAAAAAGCCAGGAGCGGAGGCTTGGCCGAGGAGGTAGAGCGCCAACCTGGAAGAGAAAAGCTAAAGGTCCAGCTCTGGGTCTAGGACACAAATCGAGGGGACATTTGGGGGGAAAACGGTGGGGGGGGACGCTGGGTGGTTAGGAAGTTGTCACCAGCTGGCCACCAGGCCTGGCAGGATCCCCTGGGGGCCCCTCTGAGGCGCCCATTCATATGCTGAGTCTCTTGTCTTTAGCTGGGGGCGGAGCCACAGGGGGCCTTGGAACTTACTGGAAACTCTTCCCCCAATTGTCTGACTTGTGTGTGTGTGTGTGTGTGTGTGTGTGTGTGTAAGCCTGTCCCTGTCCCTAAGCTATTGTGCTCAAGGCTGGCGCAGCGCCACTTCCGGCCAGCATTACAGGCAGGTGTCACTGGAGTGGTTGAGCTCTGGCAAGGCTGGGTCTTCCTCGCGCCTTCAGAAGGAGGTTTGGGGGTGGAGGGCCCCCCCTGCTTTCTGTTTGGGGGGTCTGGCTCTCTTCGGAGGTGTGACAAGGCGCCTGCCTGTCATCCCAGCTACAGCGGAGGCTGAGATCTGAGGATCGCAGTTGGAGGCCAAGCAGGAAAGACCCGGAAGGCTCCATCTCCAGTGACCCCGACCAAAAAGGCACAAGTGGAGGAGGGCTGGCTCAAAGGGTTACAGTGTTTGCCTTGAGCCCACCGAGTCCCAGCCCTCAATACTGGACTTTCCTGCCCAGGCTGGCCTCAAATCGCAATCCTCAGCTCTCAGCCTCCTGAGTGGCCGGGATGCCAGGCGGGCGCCACCAGCGCCATCCACCAGAGCAAGCTCGGGCTGGGGCAAGAGAGCCGGCGGGGAGGAACTCAGCATCCAGTAGCGGGTGGATTGTTCTCAGGAGATGGGGGATGGCTCCAGCCCTGCAGGGAAGACGGATTTTGTTTTTTTGGGGGGAAGGGGGTCCCCAAGAACGAATCTGCCAGCGGTGGGGTGGCCATGGTGTGAATTTTTATTTCAAAATAAAAGAACCACAGTAACAAAAAGCAACACAATAACGGGAGTAGAAAAAAAGCCACGCGGAAGGAAGTACTCAGAACCTGGATGCAAGTACTCAGATGGGGGGGTGCTGTGTTAAGTCACCTGAGCTGGGGGGGAGGGGGAGTAACCAGAGAGGATTGTGGGAAATGAGGACCAAAATACTCTTGGCTGAAATGTCTGACCAAAGAGAAGCACCGAGGAAGAGACGAGGGCTGGGGAAATGGGGGAAGAGAGTGGATCTCTCTGGAATCTTCCAGAACTTTCCAGCGATCAACTCTGGCCATTTTCTTAGTCCCTGCTGGGGACCTTTCTTCCCCCCCTCACCCACCTGTAGCCCTGACCTCCCAAGCCCAGGGCCTGAGTTCCCACCACCCCTGCCAGCTAGACTGAGGTAGAACCCTCCATCTCTCAAGCTTACCGTGCTGTTCAGGAGGAAGGTAGCAAGATGAATGGGAAGGTTGAAACCACAATAATAATAACTCAGTGTTACGTATGTACAGGCGAGGTGAGACTAAAGCACTACACACAGATCGCCCAGCGCCCAGAGACCCGACCCGGCGTGGACGCGTCCACACCCAGCGCCGGGCTGCGCTGCGCACCGCCTGAATCCAGGCCCAAAGGACACACACACATCCAAGAGTCAAGACTCCAGCGAGAACTTCCCTTCTGCTAGCTACGAATAATCGTTCTGCTTCTCCATTCCACCTAACCCGGCGAGGTTCCAGAATTTTCTACCAGTGAACAGAATAATTAAGAAGTAAAACACCACGCAAAAGAAAACCCACCACAAAAGACCTAACGTCGCTTATTAGGTAGTGAGATCATTTCAAAAGTCAAAAGGAAAACCAAACACCCCCAAAGAACCTTTCTCATCCATCTATGCCCCCCACCCCCCCACCATGAACCCCGCAAACCCTAAGCAAGCTCTGTCCAAGCCCAACTTAGGAAAAAACACAAATACCCTGAGTCCCACTGAGATGACACCTTCTAGAAGTTTCCAGAAGGAAACCCAGTGAGTAGCATTTTCTCTTCTTTTCTCTCTCTTCTTCTGCCCAAATACTGGAGACATGGAGGGAAACTCCTCAGAAGAGTTTCCATCTCCCGAGCACACAAGTCAGTGACACACCAGCGTGGGAACCTGCGTGTCACGGTGCACACTTGCATTTTCCCCCCCCTTGGTCACCTTCAAACTTTTTTTCCCCTTGTGTTTTAATTTCTGCACCTGTTTGGGGAAAAAAAAATTAAGAAAAAGACAAACACACACACATAATCTCTCCTTCCCAACAACCTCAACTCAACTCAACAGGTGGATTTTCAGGAGATGCGCAGAGTTCCTGCATGGAAGGTGAATAAATTAGATGCGAGGAAACTCAGCCAGTGGAAAAGAGAGCACAGAGACTCAGAAAGCAGAGAGTCTCCGAGCGCGCAGGGGCCCGGGGACTTCTCCACAGGCTTCTCTGCACCTGCTTTCTGAGCAAAGTGGGGCTGGGAGAGGAGAGTCCTGTAGCAGCATCCTGTAGTCCCGGCTTCATCCTGATGAGGTTCTGCTTCCCCTCCCCAGCTCCCCCCACCGCCCGGCCCCCCGCGGTGGGGAGGGCCTTGCTGTGGGCGGGGGAGGGAGGCTGGAGGAGGGAGGCTGGCGGAGGGAGGCCCGGGCTCAGACGTCGGTGGTGTCTTCTTTCCCGGCCTGACCTCTGTTCACCTCCCCTTCGTTTTTCTGGGGCCTGCCTTCAAACACTCGCGCGATATCTTCGAAAGTCCTGCCTCGAGTCTCGGGGACTTTGAAAAACGTGAAGATGAGGAAGATCACGAGGAAGGCGGCGAAGACGATGAACACGTAGGGCCCCATCAAGGACTGGGGAGAGGACGGAGCAAAGGCCAACACAGCAGTTAATTAATGCTAGCGACAGACGATGCCCGGGCCGCCGGTTCAATTCCCTCCACGGTCGGATCTGCCCCAGCCCCGCTACACACAGAGCCTGAGATCGCCTGAGCAGCTGGGACTACAGGCGTGCGCTACCATGCCCAGACTACTCTCTCGGATGACAGGTGTGCACTACCACGCCCAGACCTACTCTCTTCCTTCACCTCCTTCTCCACCTCCACTCTTTGCCCTGGCCTGGGATGACAGGTGTGCACTACCACGCCCAGACCTGCTCTCTTCCTTCACCTCCTTCTCCCCCTCCACTCTTTGCCCTGGGATGGATTACAGGCGTGCACAGCGATGCCCGGCCGGGCTCGGTGAGTGTTCCCTGTTACTCACAGCAGCGGACGGGAAGAGCAGGCCAACCAGGAAGTTGGAGGTCCAATTGGAGCAGCCGGCCACGGCCATAGCAGCGGGCCGGGGTCCCTGACTGAAGAGCTCGGCCACAATGAACCAGGGGATGGGGCCGGGCCCGATCTCGAAGAACGCCACGTAGATCAAGATGGCGGCGATGCAGATAAAGCTCATGGCTTCGAAGTTGTCCTGGGTGGGAAAGTGACTGTGAGGGACGTACATGTGTGTCTGTCTTTGTCTGTGTGTCTTTGTGTGTCCCTGCCCGGGGCAGGCTGGGATTGACGATCCTCAGATCTCAGCCTGCTGCGGAGCTGGGGTTACAGGCGTGCACACCGGTGCCCAGTTCCAGTGTGTGACGATCTTCCCTCTGACCCGCCCGGATGCCCAGCGCCTGTGGCGCCAAGCGGACTCACCTTCATCAACAGAGAAACGGTCATGAGAACAGAGCACACCGCCATGCCGCCCAGGCCGATCATGTGCAGCGTCCGCCTTCCAACCCTCTCCACCAGAAACAGCTAGAGAAACAACAACGCAAGGTCAGGTCCCGGATGTCCAGGAGAGCCTGGCAGATTCCTCCTATTTCCACTTCCTGAGGAGCTGGGATTACAGGCAGGAGCTACAGCACCCGGCCCAGCTATCCCAAGGGTGTCTGTAAAGAGCGTACACACCCATCTCTCAAATGACCCTTCTCTTTCTCCCACAGGGTTCTTAAGAATTCCTTCTCTACCCCCGCTGCCCCCTAAATGATGTGAGCCTCAACTTACAGACACTACGGTGAAGATGGTGTTCACCACGCCCGCTCCGATGGTGGCGTAGATGGGCTGGGAGACGCCAGCATCTTTGAAGATCCCTGTGGAGTAATAGAAAACCTACGGGAAAACAAAGACACATTGACATTTCCACACCGTCTCGGGGTTCATAAGCTCTCCCCTCTTCGCTGTCTGTATGGAGATGTTGGGATTTGAACTCAAGAGCCTCTCTGTCGCTCTACCTAACTTTTGCCCCTCAATGCTGGTGCTCAACCAGTTGAACCACACCTCCCAGTCCAGTTTTTGGCTGGTTGACTCGAAATGAAGACTCCCATAGGCTTTCCTGCTGGGGCTGGTTTTGAACTGTGATCCTCAGATCTCAGCCTCTTGAGTAGCTAGGATGACAGGTGATCGGGACTTGAACTCTGGGCCTGGGCGCTGTCCCTCAGCTCTTCAGCTCAAAGCTAGTGCTCTACCACTTGAGCCACAGCGCCACTTCTGGCTTTTTCTGCTTATGTGGTGCTGAGGAATCGAACCCAAGGCCTCATGCATGCGAGGCAAGCGCTCTACCACTGAGCCACCTGCCCAGCTATAAGTTTTTATCAGCATATATGAACCGCACAAAGTGGCGCCACTGTGGTGTGCACACCTCCTCCCTACTTCTTTCTTTTCTTCTTTTTTTGGTGGTGTTGCTGGGACAGGGATTTGAACTTAGGACTTCACATGGGCCAGCCAAGTGCTCTACCACTCAACCCGCTCCTGTCTTCACAACAGCTTCTGGTGGGCTTTCTTAATTATACGTCATATATATCGTAGGGATTTAATTGTATGTCATATATTGTAGACTATATATTACATATTGTATATTATATACTATATATTACATATTGTATATTACATATTATATATTGTATATTACTGTCTATTATTATATGTCAGGTTATATATTGCATATTACATATTATATTGTATATTATGCATATTGTTATGGTGTATATTGTCATGTATTGCATACTATGTTACATGTTGCATATATGTTGTATATTACGTGTTGTGTATCACATATTGCACATTAGGTATTATGTTATGCATTGTATATGACATTGCATATTATATACTGTATATGACATGTTGCATGTGCTGTGTGTTATGTATTGTATGTGTTGCATACTGCATACATTGCACACTAGGCGTTGCACGTTGTGTAGCGTGCGCACACACGCTGCGCTATGCACGCATGCTGTCACACGTTCTGTGCTGTACGTGTTGTAAGGCGCATGTTACATGTTGCATTGATACTGTGTACTCTATGTTACGTGTTACACATTGTAGATGTGATGTATTGTATAGCCCATCT